GGGCGGGGGCACCCCTGGGGCCTGGGGGGCGCTGCCCTCACCCAGGATACACTCTGCCCACTGCCAGGGGACGGACTCCTGCTGAGCGCCGGGGCCAAATGGGGCCGCCACCGGCGCATGCTGACGCCCGCCTTCCACTTCAGCATCCTGAAGCCATACCTAAAGATCTTCAACGACAGCGTCAACACCATGCACGTGAGCGCCTGCCAGGGTGGCAGCGGAGAGTGGGGCCGCGGTCTGGGCCTGGGATCTGATGGTCACTGGGGCCTCGGTCTGGGCCTGGGATCTGATGGTCACTGGGGCTGCAGTCTGGGATCTGGTCGTCACTGGGGTCATGGTCTGGCCTCTGATCTGATGGTCACTGGAGTTGTGGTCTGGGATCTGATGATCACTGGGGGCCTGGTCTGGCCTGGGATCTGATGAGGAGAGAAAACCTCTAACTTTGAGGCTGGTTTACACAAAGCAATGAAATCCCATCTCTAGCTCGCAATAGGCCCTCGCATGGCACGCAGTAGGCGCTCGCATGGCACGCAGTAGGCACACGCATGGCACGCAGTAGGCGCTCGCATGGTACACATTAGGCGCTCGCATGGCACGCAGTAGGACGCGCATGGCACGCAGTAGGTACGCGCATGGCACGCAGTAGGACGCGCATGGCACGCAGTAGGTGCTCACCCCTATGGCAGTTTCTGTTTCTTTCAAGCTGGGCCTGGCTCTGTGTTTCTGTCATGACTGGGGCTCAGTCAACTTCAGGCTGGTTTCATATGCTCTTGACTGGGACAAGTGGATTCTTGTCCCAGAGATTCCTCCGATGGCACGGACACATTCCGCGGGGCGAGAAGCGTCTGAAATGCCCTGGGGACACCGATTTGTAAGGAGCTGTGGCACCACCTATTTCCCTCACCTGGCGCTGGCCAGTCGGTCCATCCCAGCGTCCAGACTGGGGCTGGAGCCGGGCGCCGGGGGCTCACGCCTGTCATCCTAACTACGCAGGAGGCTGAGATCTGGGGATCGTGGTTCAAAGCCAGCCCAGGCAGAAAAGTCTGTGAGACTCTGATCTCCAATAAACCACCAGAAAACCAGCAGTGGTGCTGTGGGTCAAGTGGTAGAGTTCTTGCCTTGAGTATAAAGAAGCTGAGGGAAGCGCCCAGGCCCTGAGTTCAAGCCCCACGACAGACAAAAAAAAAGTGGGTGTGGAGGGAAACAATACTATGCCTTTCATAAATATCTCCTGCCCAATTCTTCCCTTCTTCTTTCACCTCACCTGTACATGGTACAGACTGAGCCACCCTCGCCTCTTCCTCCTCTTCTTCCTCTTCCTCCTCCTCCTCTTCTTCCTCTTCCTCCTCCTCCTCTTCTTCTTCCTCCTCCTCCTCCTCTTCTTCCTCTTCCTCCTCCTCCTCTTCTTCCTCTTCCTCCTCTTCTTCCTCTTCCTCCTCCTCCTCTTTGTGTGCCAGTCCTGGGCTTAAACTCTGGGCCTGGGTGCTGTCCCTCAGTTTCTTTATGCTCAGGGCAAGCCCTATACCACTTGAGCCACAGCACCACTTCCGGTTTTCTGGTGGTTCATGGGTGATAAGAGGCTCAGACTTTCCTGCCTGGGCTGGCTGTGAGCTGTGATGCTCAGATCTCAGCCTCCTGCGTAGCGGGTGGCAGGCGCGAGCCGCTGCGCCCAGCTCCAGCTGTGCTGTGTCCCTCTGTGTCAGCCCCGCCCCCTTCTCCGGCCAGGCCAAGTGGCGGCGTCTGATGGCGGAGGGCGTCACGCGTCTGGACATGTTCGAGCACATCAGCCTCATGACCTTGGACAGTCTGCTGAAATGCGTCTTCAGCTTTGACAGCAACTGCCAGGAGTGAGTCCCTGGGACCCTACGTGCAGGGGTCATTTCCCAGCTCATTCCTAGAGACATCCGACCGGATGTGTAGACTTAAAGATGCAGTCCTGTCCAGGACGTGGGCCCCTGGGCTACCAACCCGAGGAAGGAGTTCTGGGAGAGTGGGCCATCCAGGGGGAACCAAGGTGGCCTTCCTGGGAGAGGATGGTCAGATCAGTCTGGAAGGGTGAGGAAGGGGATTGGGGACTCATCTTTCCAGGCAGGCAGTGAGAGGCACCGTGGGAGGGAGGCTGGAAGGAATATTGCAAAGCCTGGCTAAAGGGGTACACCCCTCTTGAGCCTTCCAGGGAGCCCCGGAAGGTTCCGCGCCCCTGTTCGTAAGGTTTCTGTCCTAGCGACAATCCTTCAGGTGACTGATATAAAAGGGAGAGAGCTGGCTGCCTGAGGCTCACCAGAAGCTGAGATCTGAGGATCGCAGCTCAAAGCCAGCCTGTGGGGTCGGGGAGGCTCAGGGGGGCCTCCGTCGGGCTCGTCCTGCAGGAAGCCCAGCGAGTACATCGCTGCCATCGTGGAGCTCAGCGCCCTGGTGGCCAAGAGACACCAGCAACCGCTGCTGCACCTGGACTTCCTGTACCAGCTGACCCCCGACGGGCGCCGCTTCCGGAAGGCCTGCCGCCTGGTGCACGCCTTCACCGACGCCGTCATCCGGGAACGGCGCCGCTCCCTCCTGGGCCAGGGCCTGGATGATGGCCTCCAGGCCAAGGCCAAGGCCAAAACCCTGGACTTCATCGACGTGCTTCTGCTGGCCAAGGTGGGCCGGGCAGAGGGTGGGGGGGCAGGGAGGAGAGGGAGGGGGGAGGACACAAACTGTGTTCTCAGCCTCAGGAAGCTCTCCAGAGAAAAATCTGTGTGTAGACGGTGGGTTGGGCGCCGGTGATCACACCTGGCATCCCAGCTGCTCAGGAGGCTGAGATCTGAGGATGGTGGTTCGAAGCCAGCCCGGGCAGGAGAGTCGGGGAGACTCTTTATCTTCAGTGAATCATCACAAAGCCAGACCTAGAGAGGTGGCTAGGAGAGGAGGACGCAGGCCGGGCCTGGGGCGGTGGTGGCCGGGCAGCCCCTGCCCCTGCGGGCGCGGCTTGGGGTGGAAGGTGGGTGCTCGGGGCTGCTCTCCGCTGCGGCTCCCGCATCCTCGGCCTCCTGCGGTTCTGCAGCGTTGCTTTCTCTTCCAGGATGAGGACGGGAAGGTGCTGTCCGACCAGGACATCCGGGCGGAGGCCGACACCTTCATGTTTGAGGGTGAGGCTTGGGGCAGGAGTCCCTCCACCCTGGGGCCCCGCTGGCCCTCCCTGCCCGGGTGCCGTCCACGCTCAGCCCGGTGACCCGCCCCGCGGCTGCCCCTCAGGCCACGACACCACGGCCAGCGGGCTCTCCTGGGTCCTCTACAACCTGGCCAAGCACCCGCAGCACCAGGAGCGCTGCCGGCAGGAGGTGCGGGAGCTGCTGCGGGACCGCGACCCGCAGGAGGTGGAGTGGTGAGCGCGG